CCTGCTAACTAAAGTAATGCATACATCTGAGACCAGATTTACGTATTACTTTAGTTGTCTAAGCCCCTCTCTCTTGCTGCTAGTATTTTTCACTTTCTCTATTTGCTCCTTTATCTCAGAGCTGCTCAGATACTGGGTGCTGTGTGCACAAATGCAGGCTGATTCAAGGGGTGAAACTTGCTGTGTTAAATCGTAGGCCAGGGCAGAACCTGGGACTATTGTTAATGTCTTTGTAGTAAGTTCAAGCTTGGCAAGAAGTGCTAGGGGGAAGCAAATTGCAAACACCAACTTTTTAGTGCTGCATATGGCATTACTGTCCAGCCCTGATGCTTTCAGGCATTTACATTTCACTTGGATGACATTTCTTTTCTCTATACTTCAGTCCTGACGAGAGTTGTAGTGGCCAGTATCTAATAAATGTTGAAGCTAGAAGTATACAGTCTGTTACCAGAAAGCTTGAAATCCAGCAGTGTGTTCATCTGTAGTTTATCAAAGGTAGGCTGTGCCAGACTCTCCTGATTATCTTTTTCTGAGAGAAGGCTGAAGGAAGTGCATTAGTTGTGATCTGTCTGAATTTTACTAACATGCTTTAGATGGTGCAAAATGGGATATTATTTCTAAAACTGGAGAGGAAGGAATTAGTAGAAGAATTGTGAAGGTATTGGCTGTAAAGGAGGTAACAGTGTGTAGTGCTGAAAGGGGAAGCACTGAGCGGCTTGAGGTTATGTTCCTCCAGGATCTTGGAACTGGTCTTGTTCGCTCTCTTGATTTTTATGACCCTGGCGCACAAATTAAAGGGGCAGCTAATGACATTTGCTGAGGATGTGTTTTGATGCATCATCAAAACAAGGGCCGACAGGAGAGTGTAGGAAGAACTGGACAACTTTGAGGCTGGGAAAATGGTACACAATTTAGATGCCTGCTGGGAAAATGCATAGATCAGTTCCCTGCAGAATGCATGGCGGGGCCCAGTGTTGCTTGTCACTCGCTTCATAACAAACTGGTTCTGTGCCTATCTGGTAAGTGCATAGCGACCTTCAGGCCCAGAGCTTGCTTTGTAACTTAAGTGTTCTCCCGGTAACTCTGTATTCATGGTGTTTGTCCAACTTAGAGTTGAATATACTCTTCTTAACTTGGCCAGAAAGAAGCTTTGAGAATGAGGGGTGCTGAGCAGTTTGGGGGCTATAATACCACGGCAGTGACTGTGCTGTACGCTTATTGAGTATTGTTTCCCAGTAAGCTGGGATGAGCACTTGGCTCTGGCTAAGCATGTGGCCTTGTTGTAGTTGGATCCCCGCTTACAGGAGAAATCCCTGCTACTAGTTGTGAAGCACGTGACTTTGCCTTCTGTGCTATTGAATCTCTGTTTAGTTAAAAACACCGGAGGGAAAGGAAGACCTGGCTCTGCTCCTTGACCACAGATGTCGAGTTGCTGATGGGTTGCCTCCATGAAAAAGGCAGGTGTGATTCTGATACTCCATCAAGCAGGCCACTGGTGGTAGCAGTTGGGCGGGGTCAGCTGCACAAGACAATAGTGAGAGCTCCTCTGAAGTATTGTGTACTGCTCTGGGCATGCAAAAGGTGAAATTGGACTGAGGCAGGTAGGGAGAAGGGCTGTCAGGCTGAATGGGGGACTGAAGAGCCTCTGAGAGAGACTAGAGGAGCTTAGCCTGTTTAACCTAGTGAGCACATGCAGATGGCTGTGACTGTTGGGTCTGTAGCAGGCAGGGACTGGACTGAAGTCTGCCAGAGTAACTTCGGTTGGTTTTGTATACAGATGTAAATGCCCCCAAGTGGACGGCTGACCAGCTAGCCGGGAGTCACTGTTTGCAGTAGTCACTATTAGAGGGTCCTGCTAGGGAGGGGGAGGATGGGATGGGGGAGCAGGTAATGGTTTGCTCATGTTGAGCAAACAGATACCCTGGAGATGGACAAGGACACGTGTCCCCCTGTGCCTATGAAACTTACTCTGGGGTACTCTTCCCCCCCCCCCGGGGTATATTTTAGCACAGATTCCAGGGGGTCTCACCAGTGTGAGGGTTTCTGTTGTGTGCCCAGTCCGTGTCCATGTTGGTGCTAACAAGCCATGTCCATGACCAGCGAGCACCAGGGAGAAAACGAAAGAAGCCTAGGGACAGTGTCAGCACAAGAACAAATTGACACGAGCTGGAAATCGGAAGAACATCTCTGACTAGCAATGTTCTTCCACAGCCTTGCAGTCAGAAAAGATATGGGGGGGAAATAAAGTTAGTGTTAAGAGGCACCTTGATCACAACATGGAGAACCGTTTCCCTTTCAGAAATGAATTCCCTCGCTAGCAGGGGCTTATACTGTGTCCTGTTCAGCCCAAAGGATTTGTGAGAATATTGGATGCTCCGGGAGGTAAGGAGAGCTGTCGTGGCTGTGTGAGGAAGGGCAGCAACTTACTGAAGTGTTGCATTTATTGCTGTTTATGCCATGGATAAAAAAGGTTGGCCTAATTGTACAATTATTTTCAAAAGTTAATAATTTTGCTTTTACAGTGCCTCTATCTGTCAGAGTGACCTTGGGTTCCTGCTGACCTTGAGAAGTTCCCATGGCCTCCTTCAAGTGGTGCTGGATTGGCCTGGTTACATGGAGGTGTTAGACGGGGGGGGGAGGGGGGTGTGTGGAGTGTGTCCACCAAATTGAAACGCTTGAATGTGGCCATGGGAACAGCTTGCAGCATCAGCAGCTTGGGGCTCCGTGTGGCCCTGAGAACTGGGGCAAAGGAGTTGATGTAGCCAGAGTTTATGGAAAAACCTGAGTCTGCCTCTTTACTAGCGAAACAGCCTACGCAGTTTTGATGGGGTACCAGTTAGACATCAGTGTGACTAACTCTCACGAGGGCTGAGCAGCAAACATTTGGATACCTAAGCATTTGGACATTTGGGTATCCTAGGGGTTCTCTTCTAACTTTACTTCGTTACCAGATGCTATGTGAGATTTTGCTTAGCAGGGATTGAAGGGTTCTCCTTCCCTGTCTCTCTTGAAGGTGTGGGATCTCCCCATGGCTTCATAATTTCCTGGCTGACAGATGGGTCCCAAACACTTCAAGGCAGTATTGACACAAGTGAGTTTTGCCATCAAAAGGGAAAACCGCTGGCAAATCGCCGGGCAATACGTGTGCAATTAAACGACTTGTGCTTTGCACTTATGTTGTTATAGTGCTGCATCTCCTCACATTTAGCTGTGTAAGCACAACTAAAAACTCAACAGGACTGAGCTGTCAGTTTGACTAAATGACACATTTTTTTTGGATCAAATGTACTTCTATGTCACCAGTTTGCAAATGGTCAACAGACACCAGGTACGTTTGTACAGAGCCACTCTCTGTGCTGCATGCAACTTCTGCAGCTTGGCAGGCTTCTTGCTGAGTCAGCTGGCAAAGGAAATCAGAAGGATATTAGTTTTGCTGAAGTTTTCCCAGTAAGGCAGTTCTTCAGGCGAGCATTGACTTTGATTTTTGTGGCAAGGGGGTAGTTTGGAAGGTGCTTTGTTGGTGGGGTAGCCTTTTGATGACTTCTACTTGCCAGAGTTGCTATGCATTATTTAAACACACAGAAGACTGTGTGCAGGGCGACTGCTGTGTTAATCTACAGCAGTAGCGAATTCTTTTCCCCCCTTGGCAAACCTAAGACTCAGCAGGGATTTTGGGGGGAAGGGGATCGAAGCCTTGTTTAATAAAATCATTTCACTCAGATCTTTGTCTTGGGACAGTGCTGCTGTGCTTCTGAAGGCTTTCTCAGCCTTGCTTCTGCCGCCGCATCTCAGCTTCTTGCTGCAGGACAGCTAAATCTGTGGCACTGAGAGCAAATATGCCTTTTTTAGAAAGATGCTAACAATATAATTTTTGACATTTAAGTGTGAGCTCTCCTTTGCTGTGACTGCCTCTGACTTGCTGCCAGCTCTGTAAAGGTTATTGGCCTTCCTCTTTTGGCTCTCATGTATCTTCTGTTTATTTTCCCTGTTATCAGTCTGGTACCTTATCTCTGACAGGGCATGTGATCCTCCAGCTGGGCCATTGTTGTTGCTGTGAATCAAAGATGCGGTATGAATGTGCTGCTTCCTTATCCCGGGTGCGAGCCTTCTGGTTATAGTTAAATTAATATGTTTAAACTTGACAATATAGTACGCTCCAAATTGCCCTCCCAAGACTGCTCGTTCCTCAGAGTTGGATTTTGGCTCTTTGCTGGTTTATCTACTTTCCGTCATAGGCGCGACCACAGCTGAATCTCCAAGCCAGCTCATCTGAGAGCTGGCCTTATCAGAGGTTTCAGGGAGTGGGGGAAATGCCAGCTCAAAGCTATCTTCCTGCTCCACTGATTCTGGAGCTGGGCAAAGGCCAAACCGACCCTCAATCTAACTTCCAGGCCTGCACTCAGTTCTGCCGGGGCTGGTCCGCTGCAGAGTCTGGCTGAACTGCAGTGCACTGCGGCTTTGCCCCCGGGTCCAAGAGGGGCAGATATGATATGAGGCTGACCACGTTGCGTCTTGCCACCCCAAGCTTTCTGAGGCTTTGCTGTTGGAGGGCTTTAGGTCCTCTTTGCCTTATCACAAGGCATGAAGGGTGTTGTGGGGGTGGGAGAGCAGAGGCTGGCGCTCGTGGACTTCTGCTACAGCTTGCACAGGAACAGTGGGCTCCAGCCTCCTCATTTTAAGAAGAAATCGAAGCGGTGACCTTCTGTGAGGTCCTCAGGCTGCTGTAGCAAGAGCCATTTTCTCTAGGGAAACCTGCGGGTTTTTTTTTCTTCCTGCTTTGCCTGAGTGCAGGGTAAAATGTGAAGCCAGATCCTTTCCAAATGGTGGATTTGGCACCTCTGCTCCTGGAACAAAGTGGAGAAGTAAAACCTAGCTACTGAATGTTGTTTTCTTCCAGCATGTCACTTTGAAGAGGAATAAGGTACCTGAATTAAGTGCATTGCAGACAACTTTCAGAGTACTCTGAGTCTGATTTTGGTCTTTTTTTGTCTTTTTTTTAGTTGTCTTGATTGGAGACTCTGGAGTAGGCAAGAGTAACCTTTTGTCTCGATTTACCCGCAATGAGTTTAACTTGGAAAGCAAAAGCACCATTGGAGTGGAGTTTGCCACAAGAAGTATTCAGGTTGATGGGAAGACAATAAAGGCGCAGATATGGGACACAGCAGGACAGGAACGATACCGAGCCATAACGTCCGCGTAAGTGTTAAGACACTGCAGATCCTTTGTGGCCCGAACCAATGTGGATCTAGAATTTCTTTATTCTCCAGCGCATCAGAACAAGACCACTTGGTTTCACTTGTTGACTATTCCTGAGTTTGAGACGGATTAGGTTTAAAAGTCCATTTTGGGCTAATGAATGCTAAAAAACAAACTCCTTCTATGTAGCATATAAGCACTGGTATTTTCTGGCTTATCTTAATGGGTTGTAATATCCTTGGCCTATAAGTATGGTGGGAGAACGTTACAAATACCCGACTCCCATTTTTAGGAGTAACAATTTTTTGTCTATTTATGAAGTCTGGTAAGTGTGGCCCCTTCCAGATGCCTTGTGTTTCTGGGAAAAGTGAAAATCTTCATTACAATTAATCTTAATATAGGGAATATGGGACATCCATGCATTATAAATCATCTATAACACCCACAATGTAAGTATGGAAGAGGCCTGTCAGCCAGTCAGTTTCTGTTCTTTTAAAAGGAAAAGGACTGGAACTGGGACATGCAGATTCCAGTTTGCCAGGTAGAATGACCCCAGCAAATCACTAGCCTGTATCTTTGTCAGTTGGATACTACCTGCCTGCTGTGTAGAAGGAGCTCTGAGAGACCCATTTAAATAGAAACTATTTTTAACCCACTTGTAAGATTTAACTCCACTGGGGTTTTGTCAGCTTTAACCTAAAAAGACACCCCTGTGACGCAGTAGCAGCACCCGTTGGTTATGCTGCATCTGTGGCTAGTCAGAAAAGGAGTCTGGTGGAAGCTGGCTGAGAGTAAGGCAGACAAAAATGGTAGAATCTGGTTTGCTTGTTGCAGAACAAATGTGCAAGTTGCTTTAGTCCTAATAGAAGGCCAGTTCTGGTAATTCATGTGAGGAAAGGACTGCCATGTAGTAATGAGGTAGTCGCCTCTGATTTGTCCTTTCAGCAGGACATAGCATTCTCTTCTAACTGTAGCGCCTGTTTCTGATTCACTAATGTGCTTTTCTGTCCCCAGATACTACCGTGGGGCTGTTGGGGCTTTGTTGGTTTATGATATTGCCAAGCACCTTACGTATGAAAACGTGGAGCGATGGTTGAAAGAACTGCGAGACCATGCTGACAGCAACATCGTCATTATGCTTGTGGGGAACAAGAGCGACTTGCGTCACCTGAGAGCAGTCCCAACGGATGAGGCTAGAGCTTTTGCAGGTTAGTTGATGAAAACTCTCCCTGTGGATTTGATGGCCTTTGTCTTTCATGTAGCCTTTCTATAAATAGAGCTTTCGGGAACGAAGCAATGAGCTGCTGTTTCCCTTAAGTTCACTGAACTCCTCCCTGCCTTGGTACACAGAAGTGCTCATGTTGTTTTTAAATTGAAAAGCCATCACGTTAACCCTGCTGCCAGCCCATGGTTCAGCTAGAGAGTTTTGAGCAATCAGCATATCGGTGCGAGTCTAGATGCAGAATGTCTTGTGTCCCTGAGCTCCAAAGCTCATGGAAAGTGGAGATGCCATATAATGCTAGATCCTGGGGTCCTTGTGTAGTAGCACTGCTGTTGGCCTTCATTTGGCTTTACAGCTACAGACACAGCATTGAAAAAGGAAATAGGTGGACATGAGCTGTTTGCCTAATGATTTGTTTAAAGCCACCCAGCTTATACCATAGTTTAGCTGGGGAGGCCTATTGATTAAGTGAGAGCAATCCCTCAGTCGCATGTAATTTTAGTTCAGATGACAAAAGAGGAGTCCAGCAATTACTGTAATCTTCATAAATTAACATAAGCTCAGCTCCTTCCACACTTGAATGTGGCTTTGGGTTCCTTGCATGAATAAGAATTCCGGACTTGGGCTGCTTGCACGTGTGGCTGAATGAGAACTTGTGTCTGCACTTGAATATCGGGGAAACAGGATTTTTGAGGGCTCAGATACCTCTTCCTCTCCGGCATGGGTAGAGGTATCAAATGAATGTCAGAGGGGCAGCATCGAGATCTCGCCCTTTCATTTAATGTTCATGATTGTCGAGATAGGATTGGAAGAAATGCAGCTAGTTTTTTTTTTAAATAAAAAGCTAAAGTCAGATCCTTTACCTCCCCTAGCTCATTCCCTAGCAGCCTAGTGCTGAGGTGGTGCTTTGTCACCCAATGTTAGTCTGGGTACAGAGGAGGCAAGGTACTGTGCACCTGACCGTGGAACAATTCCCTTTTCTCAGGCTACCTGAACCACCTTCTAGCAGTCAGTGCTGCTTCTGAGGCCTCCTAAGTCATAGTGCTGTGTGGGAGAGTTTTAGAAATGGCGGGGGTGGAAGTACAGAACTGCATGAGATAATTCAGAACACTTCTAATCTGTACTCTGTGAAAGTGTCAAAGTCTCTTTGGGGCTCTCGCATGGCTTTTTAATGAAACCAGGTGCCTAAAACCTAAAGGTCCTAGCGTAAAGGTCATTGCTGGTATTGGTTAGTTTTTCCCCTGAGCAGGAGGAAGACACGGAGGGGCCTGAAGTTTTAACAACTATGTTCTATCAGTATGCACTTTTCCACATGAGCTGCAGCAAATCCACTCTTTGGCCCAAACAGACAGCAAGGTAGGGAACAAGAACACAGCTGTCATCCTTCAACTTACATTGTCTCTCTGATCATGCAGAAAAGAATGGCTTGTCATTTATTGAGACATCCGCTTTGGACTCAACAAATGTGGAGGCTGCTTTCCAGACTATTCTGACAGGTGAGCCCTCCAGTGCTTGGGATGTGGGGAGGGGAGACTCCATCCTGTCTGCGTCTTTGGATAACGCAGCTCTTTCTAGGCATGGAAATTAAGGGCTAGATATTTCAAGCTTGGAAGATTCAGATCCAGTTTGCAGTTGTGCCACTCACTGACAGCACTGTCTCTCTCCACCTTTTGTAAAAATGAGGGAAATGCATTGTTTTCCAATTTCATGTAGGATGGGGGGTGTTGATAACATGGTTAAGGTTCTCAGCGGTGCTGGGGCTGGAAAACGCATCTTGGAAGGTGCCTCTCTCCGTAGCATAGGGGAGAGCCCAACAAATATCCCAGCTGGGGCCAGGGCAGGAAGCAGCATAGGTGCTTTGGTCTGGCACTTCACCCAAACTGATTAGCCTAAGTCAATTAAATGTACTTCTGTAGGAGTTTATTTCCATTCTAAAAAGACACTTGTCCATATTATTCAGTCTTCTCCCCTCCTATAACGTTTTTTGTTTAAACGTTCTCTTACCTTGAAAATTGCATTATATGGGCAGGGTCTTTAGAAACTCACCGGGCAGGAGTCCACTGTCAGCAGCTATATTAGAATGAGCATACGGAGGAGGAGGCACCTCATGACATCTTCCTACATTCATGGTTTATCTTGGAGATTTGCTAAGAGGCAGGGCCGCGACTTGCTGAAACTGGCCTTGCCTGTACTTAAATCTGTTGGATGTAAAAGGAGCAGTCCTTGGGATAATGGGCCACCTAGGATTCAGGACAAACAGAGGGTACCTTGGGGACTTTCTTACCCATGGGTGATGCATGCAGATCTCGTCCAGCTTATTGAAGATGGTAGTACTTGGAAACAGTTCTCTTCACGATTGCCCTGTGTACTAAAACAGTTACTGCTGTAAAGGATTCCTTTCTCTCGCATTGCACGAGGCTGTTTTTGAAGTACTTTATTAATGCAAACTTTCTCACCACTTGGGTTGGGTGGATTAGTAGTTAGTGTTGTAGCAATGAGACCATCCTCGATCTTGGTCTCCTTGTATTCTCTGTCTGTAGCCATCTCCCTTCTTTTCAGATTGACACTTTTGGAACAGAGACTACCCTTGTTCTGTTTGTACAGAGGCGTTATCCTGTTGTGTGGCTGGAGTGCCACAGGACTACAGATAATGAACTGTACCCGTTTTGCAGATGGGTAACCTGAGGCATGGGGACATTAACTTCCCCCATGTTCACACTGATGTTTTATGACAGCTGGGACTTGACCTTAGGGGTCCTGACTCCCATTTTATGTGCTAGCCACTATTTATGGTCCTTTCTAATAACAGAAAAAAGGCAGACATGTTCCTTATCTCCTTGCTGAGTAACTGCTCTGGCTTGGGATGTAGCGTGGGCAGTGGCTGAATGGTAACAGGCAGATAGTATCAAAAAACCTGCTGGCTGGATTTCCTGTTTTCCTTATCCCCTTGGAAGGGCTCAGGCTGTGAGCAGGAAAGTGCTGGGAGAAGCACTTCCTGACTGCCCTCTCCAGGCTCTAGCTGCTCCGTATTAGCCAGTGTGCTCTGGTATTAGCTGCTCCTGGGCCCTTTTCAGAGCTCCTTCAGTCCCCAGCTCTGCTGTTGGGCGATGCAGGGACTCTAGGCACGCTGACCAGGCTAGCACTGGTACTTCAAGGAAGGGAATCGGGCAGTCCACTGGCTAGAACGGCACAGTGGCTCTTTCTGAAGCTGGTCAGCAAATTGCCCTTAGTTCGCTGCTGCACGGTGCTGTTCCCTAGTGGATCTGGCTGCAGAGGAGACAGGACTTTATTCGCACCAGGCTGCTAAGCGACTTTCAGACTAATATACTGCTGTTGCCATGGGGAAGCAATTTACCTCTCAGCAATGGCTAGATGAGTGGAGGCTGTTTTGTAGCAGCCAAAATGATCTCACTACCATGCCTGGGAGAGCACCTCTTGGATCCTGATTAGGGGGAATCTGGATCTATTACTTGTTCCCTGACGATGGACTATGCAGCAAGCAGGAAAATCAAGTGATTGGACCAAGCCCTTCCTGACACCTGGCACGTGGCTGGGACTTGGGTTTGTCTGCGAGGTGTCGCTGTGACAGCATGTTGGCTAACCAGCTCTCAGGCCTGCAGGCCCTGCTCCTGTTCAGGAGGGGGGCGGCTGTGTTGCGGGGAACGCTGCTGCCTATTGGAGGGCATGTGGCTCGCTCCAGATGTGGGCTCCTGTTTTGGGGAGATAAAAACTGCAGTAAATAATGTTATGCTGGCAAGCTGCCTCCATCCATACTGCTGCCAACATGTGAAGGGCTGGGGGACATCTCGATAGCACTCCCTGCAACTGTCTTGCTTTAGCCAAAAGCTGCTGCTGATTTTCAGAGCCACCTCAGGCAGGCAGTTCCAGTTTGTGCTGCAGCCTGATGAAAGTTCAGCCTAATGCCTGTTTTTTCAAAGGGAACTTCCAGGAGCAGCTGTTTGGAGGGTGGAAATGCTCCTCCCCACCCCACCCCGCCACCATAAGGCAAGTGAGATGAAGGTGTAGGCTAATAAGACCGAGCACAAGAAGGGGCAGTTTGTCTTGGTTCGGTGATGCCAGGGTTAGCCGTGTTGTGGACGGGTCAGGGGTTAGTGGCTGCTGTTGGTATTAGTCACCCGATGTGAAAGACTTGCGGCGAGCAGTGTTGTGACGTGGTGTCTGAAAGTACTGCTGGTGATTAGTAACGGGACTCTGACCAGTGCTCACCCAGCTGGAGTGGAACTGGGCCTGGCTGTAGTAGCACAGCTTGAAACAAGTGATTCCCACCCGTGAGGGTGCTGGGGGAAGGACCAGTGAAATCCCATCCTGGCTCATCAGCACCTGCCTAGAGCTTCAGCTCATCCACAGCCTCTTCCAGGCCAGTTTCCCCAGCGGTTTTGGAGCTCATGAAGGCCGGGTCTCCTGCTGCCGTGACAGTTCACCCGCGTGTGCTCTGTCGGAGCTGTGGGTGGGGAACACCCTTTCCTCCACCTGCTGAGTGGGCTCGTGAGCTGGGCAGGAGCTTGTACATGGGGTGCAGCAGGTCCCAGGGATCCAGGACAGTGCTCAACTACCTGGTGCAGCCCGACCATAAACCCGCCTGGTCCCAGTGGCTCCTTCTGTAGCTGAGCTGGGAGCGTCGCAGCTCTGAATTCCCAGCTCGCTGCTTTTTGAACAGTTGCCTGTTGATGAGCCACAAACCTGCCTCCCTGCACTTGCCAGGCAAGCTAGTCAGCAGTCATGTGGCTGTGTGCAGCTGGCCTGTTTATCCTGCCAGGGAATAGAGTCCAACTTGTCTGTATTTGGCGACTGCATTTGGAGGGCTTGTTTTAAAACCCTTGCCCCTTCTCCCAGCCTAGCTTGTGTGAGCTGCCATAGTTCCTTGATGCCAGCTGCCCGTTCATTGTAGAAGCAGATACAAAGCAGCATTACTGGCTTATCTGCAAGAGGTTGCTCAACTTCCCTGTGTTGAAATGATGATGTCTGGCTGCGCACTGAGCCATTTCTTGTGAAAGGTCTGAGCAGAGTTTAGTCACTAGTGTTTAGTCCTCACTTGCCTCATTAGTTTCGTCCTCGTTTACTTGGGAGCCGAGGCAGAATTCAGATCCCAGAGACCATACTCTTGTGTACTAGGAGTCTGATCCCACCTGCCCTGCTTCAAGTCTTGGGGTCCCCTATCCCTTTATCTGGCCTCCAAGCCCTCCTCATGTATAGATTCAGAGTCTCATCTCTGCTCTCTAAACAGTCTTCTGGAACCAACATCCCTGTATCGTGTCATGGGAATCTAGCCATGGACTTGACTTTATGCAGTTTTTCACAATTTAAAGAAACTATTTGTCCCATAAGCAGAAGCACATTGGACACAGGCGTCAGGGTCTGGGGGGTAGAGGAGCAAATGTCCTGTAAGCCCCTTCTGATGGGTGGAAATGCAGGTAGTCAAGAAGCTCCATTCAGCCCCACTATTGCCTGTAAACAGCTAAAGGACATAATGGCAGGAGACCACGAAGGGCCTGTACCAGCAAGAGATTTGGGGCTGGTTCTAGTGAATTGGGTAGCCCTTTCCAAAGGAAGTGGGAACAGCAGCCATTCGGTACGTTCCTAGTATCTTTGCAGAAAAGTAGACTATCTGCTCAGTTCCTGGGTAGGGAACTGTAGTGGTTACAAAAGCCACTAGCAAGTTTTGCTCGTCCTGGACGCTTACACAGACTTCAGCATGCTGGTGTTGCAGTGACAGGTATGCACATGCTGACTTGTTCCTTCTCCTCTTCCAGAGATCTACCGCATCGTTTCTCAGAAGCAAATGTCAGACAGACGTGAAAACGACATGTCTCCAAGCAACAACGTGGTTCCCATCCATGTCCCACCGACCACTGAAAACAAACCAAAGATGCAGTGCTGCCAGAATATATAAGAATTGTTTGTTCTTTCCTAAAAGGCTGTGTATATTCCCCAGGTCCAAGATTTAAATATATTTGTAATTCTTGTGGTTACTTTTTTTTGTTGTTGTGTTCAGTTACTTTTTCTTCCTCCTGAATTTCTCCATGTCTTAAATGTGTTGATTTCAGTGTTTAAAAAAATCATTCATTGCTTCAAGTGGCTGCAGCATTTTTTTACGACGCCAGTATGTAAGTCTTGGCTTGAAAATTGTTTGGAATATTAACTGATCACTTTTCCAACAAGATGGCCACTGGTTGGAGTTTGAGAGTGCCATTTAGTAATCTGACTCAAAAAGGGTCATTCTTGTCCTTCCTAAATAATTATTGGCATGTTAACCAAGTGAATATCTCTGGGCAGGACAAATGGCATAATTTTCCCTGCCTCAAGTTGCCGTCTTGCATTCAAAGAAATGCCCATTGCTCCAAACTCAGTCATCATGCTACGTGGTTTGTTTAGTCCAATGTTATGGCTAAAAAACCCTGTCCAACAGGCAGCAGGCATTTGGCTATATGCAAAGGCACTTGAGTTGCAGTGGCTTGGTGCAAATGAGGTTGTCAGGTTGGCGAATGCTGCTGTGAGACTGAAGCAGGAGAAAGTGGTGGAAGCCTATTCACGGTGCCTCTTGGAAAATACAAGACAAAGCAACATGAGCTCAACAGCTGAAGCGCTTCACTCTAGTATTGTGGTTTGCAGCAGCTGTGTTGCTTGCCCAGGAGCTGGCCTCCACAGTGGTAACGGTATCAGAATTTGGGAATACACTTTCCTTCTGCACTAGATACAACTTCCCTCAAGGTTTCTATCGTGGACTCACGGTTTGATCCCAGTGTTTGCAAACGTGTGGTACAAAGGGATTGCTGAAGCTTCCCTGTTAGTATCTATTCTTCTGTCTGATTGTCTGGGATAGCTTCCTCACTGGGCACACTTTTTCACTAGACCACACTTCTGTACAAATAATTTGCCTAGACTGTTTAAGAATGTGTGAATTGTGCCTTCTGCCACTATATCTTGAAAGCGCTGCATAAATTAGTGTCTCATCCCAAAATTCTCCACGAAAATATCCAAGTGTTTTGGTTATTGGCACTTAAACTCCTGCAGTGTTTAATAAAACGCTGCGTAAAGCAGTAGGGGGAAATGACTGTATGGGGAAGGGAGTTGCTCAGATGCTGATATAACCCACTTGGAACTTCTGTGTAAGGGCATGCCCACGCTGCTGCACTTCTCTAGCCAACTCTCCTGTCTTGCGGTGCTCATGATGTGTAAGGCACACGGAAGGCATTGCTGTAGTCGGTCATTTGTTTTAAATCCATTTCTCCTTCCAATCTCTGGGTTTGGGAGATGTCACTTGATCTGTTTGTAAATTACTTTGTATTTTATGCATGTACTGTAACTTGATTTCGTTATTTCTTTTTTTAGATTGATTTAAAATATATTCACTCATTATTCTAATAAAGAATACGGGGGACTATTTGCCATGTTGTTAGGTTCTCTTCTTTGGGAACTGGTTCCTTTTGAAGGCTTCCGGGACTGGAGTGCAGGTGTTGTTCACCAGATGTGGAAGTATTCTCCTAAACACACTCCTAAAGCAACCAGGGAGGGGGTCACACAGCATCCTGTTCAACACGTGTAAGGATCTAAATCCCAGTATGTGGTACACAGTCATGGTCTGGTAGCTTCAAGAGGCTTTGGAGCTCTGAAGGCTGCTCCTGTCTACCTCCTGCAGTGCATCCTCCAGTTTGCACCCAGAAATGCTAACAGCTGTGCTGGTGAGTGGATGGTTCTTCTGTCTTTGTTTCTTTGGTGCCTTACAAGTGTGTTTGGGGGTATGGGAGCTGTGATGGGGTTCTGCATCACCTCTGCTGTTGCTAGGGGCTGGGGGGCACTCTTCTAAGCAGGCTCCGGTGTGGTTGGAAGGGTGATGGAAAATGCCCAGGGAAAGCAGCCTGCTGGCAGTCTTTGTCATTTGATAGGTGATGCATTCCTTTCAAGTGGCCTCTGAACGGATGGTTCAGATCCTCTGACAGCGTCTGGGCGGCCTTTTGATGAGACATAAGTGAGACTGGCTTTTTTTTGTGGTCCCCAAAGGTTCTTTTTGCAGGGTTTGAGTAACTTGGAGGTTATCAAATTACGTTGGCGCTAGTGTCCTAAACCTGTAGCTTCAACAGTGAAACCTCCACCTCACTCCTCCTTGTGCTACAGTTTTCCATCTTGGTAATAAGTCTGTGCATGGAGATTTAAAAGCTTGTGTAGCAAAGCTTTGCAAGGCATCTTAAGCAAAAAGGCATTTCAAGTTTAAAAAAAGGGGGGGGGGTTGTAGGATTAAAATACCACCCTCGTTTTCACCCATACATGCTGCCATATTATGCTGTGATAGTATCCACCCTCCTGCTATAAAATGTCCTGATCGTTATGATGTCTGGCATACAATGCTCCCCAAATAAATCGCACACCTTGTACTGAGACAACAGAATGGAGAGAAGCTCTTCCAGAGTCATGGTGGGAAGCTGACTGCATGGAGCAGCTTGCTCGCTCTCAACCAGCTCACTGGACATTTTGGACAAAAGCTAGTTTTAATTTTCTCGGCAGGTACCAAATTGGCAGTGGCTATGAGAGGATTAAAACAACTCTGCCCTGATGACTGCTAGTTGGAAAGAAGCAGAGCCTTTGGCAGCCATGACTGTGTCTCTGTGCTTCTATTCCAGTGCAGACATCACTGTCTTTGCTTAAGACATGCACCCCAACCTTGGATGGCTAATTTTGAGGGGGCGGAGGAGTGCAGACGATACGCAAGTAACTGTAGTGCTTCTGAGTAAGCTTCCAAAGACGGCAGATGCCTCCACAAGGGCTCTCAGTGATTCAATAGGGGTCTTCCTTCTCAGTCGGGTGTGAGCAGTATTGTAGCAGGATGTTGCTTCAGTCCTGGATTAGTCACTTGGCAGCGTAATTCCACATTACAGCAATGCAACTCTTACTTTCCCTGCCAGTAGGTAACTCAAGTACCTGAATGAACTCTGCTAGACCCTCTCCATTGTGCACTGAATCACAAAATTGGCTGCACCTGCCCAAATCCTTCCCTATCACTTGCCTACTATTTTGAAAGCCCAAACCGTACCAATACAAAAACTGTTTAGCAAGCATCACTAGTTTCTGCCTTCACTTGTGGTAAAGCTCTTGATTCTCATGCTGGACAGGCACAAAATTTGTTCTTTTTTTAATGTTTTATTAAGCTAGAAGGACATTTCAAGTCCATCTCTCTTAAAACCTGATGTATTTCCAGAGTTAAGTGGCTTATTGAGTGTGATGCCTCAAATAAGAGGATTACATGCCAGGCTTTGGTTAACAAGCTTTCCAGACAGAAGTACAAATATTGAAAAAGCATCAAAATGGAGCAGTTCATTGCATGGAGATATTAATTCTGTCACTGCTGGTGCTGTAAAACTGTGCTTATAATTTATAATTTATCGATTAGGTTTCCCAGGAGTGTATATAAAAACTGCCAGCTAGCTAGCTGCACCAGCAATGTTCTTGCTAGTGCTGCCTATAATAGGATGATGACTGAGGCCCTGATTCTGCAGGGTGGACTTGCCAAAGTCAGTGGTGCTCTGCTTGGGTACAGCTGTGTGCCTTCACAACGCGTCTGGGATTGCAGTGCTCTCGGCATGGAAACCTAAGGGGGCTGGTTTGTGTGCCCGCTTTTTTACAAAATGCCTCTTGTTCTCATGTTCTTACAGGTGAGAAGAGCTTGACCAGGAATTCTTGGGTCAGCTCACAGAGGTAGTGAAGGCTAAGGATGCGGTAGTCATCGGGGACCTGAACTTCCCGGACATCTGCTGGGAAAAGCAGTCAGCCAGGTCTGACCTCTCACGTAGGTTCTTAGAGTGCAGGACCT